CCCCCCCACGCACACACCTAATTATTTATTTTTAAATGCTAAAATCAGTTTGCGCTGCCTCTCTGCTTTGACAGTTTCAAATAATATTACGAATAGACCTCATCATGCACAGTCTATGATGACAAATTTCACTAAACTCTGTACCATAGCCTATCTATAAAGAAGTTGTTTTTTCATAGCTACAGTTTAGTATTTCAGCTGTCTCCATGGTAGCTGCAGACCCTACAGGATTCCTAGTGCCTGTCATTTAAAGTTTCCAAGAAAATAAAATTCATTTGTGTGTGCATATTTGTGCCCATGCTTCACATGAGGTGCTAAATGGGTTAAACAGTAAGGAAAGCTTCCATTTTTTCCCAAGGAACTTGGATTGCTAGTTGAATGCCCAAATGCTTTTGTCTGCTGAAAGGCTGATGGGAGATAGCCACAAGCAGCACAAAAAACACCAAAGTCCCTTACAACTCTTTGTACGTAGAAATCAAAGGCTTTTTTATTACATCAGTGTCAGAATGTTCCTTCTTGAATACGTTAGGCACTAAATTCCTATCAGTTAGTTTGAGTTCCTTCATGTGGGTTTAGCTGCCTCATTTAGTTTAATTTGGTGGCATCTGTATTAGAAATTGCAGGTCAAAATTTTCATAGATTTTTAGGGGAAGTGAGAACTTCTGTGATCATTGAGCTTGAACTCCTGCATACACAAGCCATTGGCCTCCCATGAATCAATTCCAGTTTTCAGGCCACTAGGAGTGGTTGAACCAGAGCATATCTTAAAAAAAAAATCCAATCTTGATATTTAAATTTCCGGTGACAGCAACTCCACCACAACATCCATTCATTGATCCAATAGTTAATAATTGCCCTCACTGTTTTCTAGAGTTGCCAGATGGTTACAACAAAAATACCAGACACACTTGACATTACATCACAATCTATATTACATTTTATTTAGAAAATACCGGACATTTATATTTTCTCATTTATATTTTCTCAATTTGTTTCCCGAACCGAAAGCTCAAATACTGGACTGTCCAGTTCAAAACTGGACACCTAGCAACCCTACTGTTTTCAACTTGCGACTTTTCTAGGCTGTCATTGGTAACTTTTAGCCAATTTAGATCTTGTTATGTCTTTTGTTTGCAAGATTGAAGAGCCCTATCAATTAACACATTTCTGGTACCTGTATAGGTACTTTGGCCCTGATTTACACTAGGAAGTTATTTAAAAATAATGTCCCTTATTTCAAAATAACAAGTGGAACATCCACACTACCAACCCCATTATTTTGAAATAAGGGGCTGGTTATTTTGAAAAAATAACTCTTGTTTTCCACAAGGAATAACACTTATTTTAAAATAGTTATGTCGAAATAGCGATAGTATGGGTGCTCCAGTGCTGATATTTTGAAATAACTGTTCTCCAGAGTCATTACTCCCCAGTACTTCCTAGGTCTTGTGAGAGAAAAATCAAATAACTCCAATTAACTCTAATGTGGAGGAAATCAAAACTCTCTAAAAGAAAACTGCTGTAAGGGTTAAAAGTTTTCCAGGCCTCTCTCCCTGTAACAGAGATAAATCATCTTAACACTAATCAAGACGCTTACAATGCCTCCTATCTCAAGTTCATGGAGACTCCTAGTCTGTCACAAATTGCCATGCAAACTCTTATCTTTGTCACAGTTTGCCTTCTAGACTCCTCACTCACAGTCTCTAGGTTAAGTCTCTAGGTTAAGTGGGTCTGGCCCACAAAAGCTCATCATCTAATAAACCATCTTGTTAGTCTTTAAAGTGCTACATTGTCCTGCATTTTGCTTCGTTTTCCTTCTAGATTTCTTTCCTGCCTCACTGCTTTGACCTCCAGCCTTGGACCCTTCTGGGGACTCTGTACCCCAGGGGAGTGAGATTTCTCCAACAGTCTCTAGGTTAAGTCTCTAGGTTAAGTGGGTCTGGCCCACAAAAGCTCATCATCTAATAAACCATCTTGTTAGTCTTTAAAGTGCTACATTGTCCTGCATTTTGCTTCGTTTTCCTTCTAGATTTCTTTCCTGCCTCACTGCTTTGACCTCCAGCCTTGGACCCTTCTGGGGACTCTGTACCCCAGGGGAGTGAGATTTCTCCAACAGTCTCTAGGTTAAGTCTCTAGGTTAAGTGGGTCTGGCCCACAAAAGCTCATCATCTAATAAACCATCTTGTTAGTCTTTAAAGTGCTACATTGTCCTGCATTTTGCTTCGTTTTCCTTCTAGATTTCTTTCCTGCCTCACTGCTTTGACCTCCAGCCTTGGACCCTTCTGGGGACTCTGTACCCCAGGGGAGTGAGATTTCTCCAACAGTCTCTAGGTTAAGTCTCTAGGTTAAGTGGGTCTGGCCCACAAAAGCTCATCATCTAATAAACCATCTTGTTAGTCTTTAAAGTGCTACATTGTCCTGCATTTTGCTTCAGCTACCCCAGACTAACACTGCTACATTTCTATTACATATAGAGAGAGGCTTCCTTGGGCTAATTTGCAGGTTTCCCTATAATGTGGACATGCTTATTTTGAAATAGTTTGAGATTTCTTATTTCTAAGTAAGTTATCTCGAAATAACTTCCTAGTGTAGATATTCTGAGCGTAGTTCAGTGTAGTCAGATGACAGTCATGTACGTGTTTTAGAAGTTTGTGTTTGCATTTAAAAGTTAGGTGAGTTTGACCAGCTAGGGATTTTTTTCTAATCTATAGAGATCATAGTGATTTGTACCAGATATAGGCAGCTGGAAGCTTCCTGCGGGGAAGTGCCGCTTGCTCTACCAACTTGCTTTTCTTGTGATGTTGCAGGGTTTGTGTATTAGTTGCCTGTGAACAATCAGTTCCTGGTGAGCAAATGAGTCTTGGTAACACGGCTACATCTCTACCACTGGTGAGCAAATGAGTCTTTTCTCATAGCTTCTCAACTTCTGGCTGTCATTCATTCTCACCATTAAGCTTTTTCTCTTCTAGAGGCTCTTTTGAAGTTTAGAACATGTTCTTAATATTTACTTTTTTCTCTGTTTACTAAGACTGGGATTTTATTACTCTTTGTTTTAGTAGGAGACTATGATTTGATGCCTCTCCTTGAAATTCATATTGTCTTTGTCTTCATGTAAGAACAAATGTTTTCCCATCAAGATAGCTACCTTGTAAAAGATATCTATTGATAAAACTGCTTAATCGCATCCTCCTTATAGCTTCACTATCACTACAGCTGGTCTGTTCCCAGATATCCCTATTGTCCTAAGTACTTTCCACATTGTGGCTAAGATTTGCTATATTTATAAAAGATCAGTTTTAGTTCAACCACAGATTTTTGGGCTTGTTGTATACATTATTTGTGACATTTTATGGTCTGCATTATGAAGAAGGTCAGACTAGCTGATCCCAATGAGCCCTTTTAGCCTTAAAAATCTATGCATATCATTCTGCCTCTCAAGCATGTATGAGCATTGTATTGATTCCACCAAATAAACAAGGAAGAAACAATAATGGATAATTTAACTTCTATGGCTATAATCCTGTTGACCACCAAACTGCCAGGTATATTAGGATTCTCTCTGAGACACTTGGTTTATCCAGAACACCTTGCAAAGTTCTGGGAGAACATTTCATCCAGTTCTCTAGGGTCCAGAAGCCATTTGTCTCCTGCTTGACACAGGTTACTTTAATAGGCATGCAACTGCTCTTCGTGTACACTAGCCAGGCCTAGATGCAAGGGATGTAGGTTCAGGGGGATCCCACAATTCCATGGCACACCATAGTTCATATAAACCTATCCTAGCTACCAGCATCTATACCTGCATGTAAACATCACTGCTTTGAGATTGCATATGGTATGCTTATTAGTTCACCAATTCATCACCTCTGTCAACATTGTTTACAAGAAAATGAGCATACTCGTTAGTTCCTACCTCCCTTCAGAGGTTCCAAAGAGGATGGAAAGAGGCTGTTCTCAGTAGTGATGGAAGGTAGAAAAAAGAGCAGTGGTCTCAAGCACTGGAATGGGTCACCTTGGGAGATGGTGGAATCTCCATCCCTAGAGATTTTTAAGTCTTGGCTTGACAAATCCCTGGCTGGGTTGATTTAGTTGGGATTGATCCTGCTTTGGGCATGGGACTGGACTCGATGACCTCCTGAGGTCTCTTCCAGCCCTATGATTCTATGATCCTTATTAGCGTAGTCACAATAGTTAGTTGTTTCAGCCATTACAATAATTGCTGTTCAAAAATGACTTACGTACTCAAGCATAACTTGGGACTGGTCATGTCAGTTAAGCCAATGCTATAATACAGGTCTCAATATGCATTTTTTGTAACTCACAACATTACAGAAAAATACAATTCTTTCTAGTTACTCTTAGAGTATTTTAACGCTACATGAAAAAAACTAAAAAATGTATATTTTAAAATAGCCAAAGCACAATGCCACCCATACATCCTCTGGGGCAGTGCAGTAGCATGCCTTCTCACCCAATGGCTATCCAGCTGTCCTACAGAGCAACAACTGAGCCTTGAGAAAGAAATTCTGAAATTTTACGAAATCATGGAGCCCTCTAGAGGTGCAGTGCTGATAGACATTTAATATTAAGTCTCTCATTCTAAGCCATTGTGCCTTTCAGATCTGTGAGTGCAAAACTTCTGGCTTAGTCCTAATTATCAAAGCCAATGGCATGTTCATATCTGGTTTCTGTCAATGAGTTTGTGTTCCAGGGCGCACACACACATGCCAGATACCTATGGAAAATGGTGTTGTCACCCTCAAGAAAGCACACACAAGTCTAATTTGTTTTATTTAGAGTTAAAGTTTGTTAGCATGAGAATTTGTTTTATCTTCACCTGTTGAGCACTTCAGACACAATCAGAGAAAATGACAAATGACTAGTTAACCAAATAGTAGGCAGTCATGTGAACTATGTCACATGTAAATGTAATGTGAACTGTACCCTCTTGCAGGACTATAACAAGTCAATGAGTGTAGAAACCCTCACTTTCAGGCACCATGAAGACCTTTCTTCTGCTAGCAGCTTTTGGATTTTGCTGGGCGCAATACAACCCAAATACAAATTCTGGGAGGACATCTATTGTCCACCTATTTGAATGGTGTTGAGCTGACATTGCTATTGAATGTGAATGATATTTAGCACCCTATGGATTTGGTGGAGTTCAGGTACGTAGCCTGTAATGTACAATACAATTTCTCTATGTTTTGGCATTATTTACTTACCAGAGAAAAAGGTTTGGATCACAGAGGGCAGGCAACACATTTACCATCAGTAGAAATTGGTGATGGAAGTAGGAAATGCTGACAGGTATGTGTCTAGACCAGTCACTGTGAAAGGGTGATTTTACTTTGTCTCCAGGGGGTTAGCTCCAAAACACTATGTTTTCCTTGTGTGTCATGCATAGTCTGATTCTCCCAGTACAAAATAACAATTGATTTACTATTGGTTATCATTTCAGACACATGTATTATTCAGTAATATGTACAAACACCCATTCTTGTCATCCTAATTGAACAACAACAACAACAACTTCTAGATTACTTCAGGCTCCCAGGGTGTTTTTATCTTTCTTTAAGGAATCAGCCCCAGGTATCTTTTGTGAGATGCTGCGCTCCTTTAAGTCTCACTGATTTCAATATGAGTCCTCTGAGATGGTGAGCTCCTTGTGGGGAAGAGTGATCTGAATTATGATGTTAATCAGGATTAATTCTACCACCTGATATCAGTTTGTGCTCCTGGACCCTCGTCTCTGTTTGTCAGAGGGTGGAGATGGATGGCAGGAGAGAGATCGCTTGATCATTACCTGTTCGATTCACTCCCTCTGGGACACCTGGCATTGGCCACTGTTGGCAGACAGGGTACTGGGTTGGATGGACCTTTGGTCTAACCCAGCATGGCCGTTCTTATGTACGTGTTGGACAGCACTGAACATCCTCTCTGTGCTTATACAAATGAATGTCATCATAATTACAGGTTTATCACATGACATAATTTCATTCACAGATATCGCCTCCAAATGAAAATATTATTGTCAATAACCCCTGGAGACCGTGGTGGGAAAGGTACCAGCCCATCAGCTACAAACTGTGCACCCGATCTGGAAATGAGCATGAATTTAAAGACATGGTGACCCGATGCAACAATGTTGGAGTAAGTTTCTTGTGTTAAAATAACGTGGCAAGAATAAACTGATACCAAGTGAAATGCCTGCCTGTTCTATGCTAAATGAAAAGAGAAGACATCCTCAAAAATGAAGGAATGTAAATGGGGAATAAACAGTGACTTGGTTAGTGAGAGTATAGTGTCACCTCACTCACTCTCCTTTATAAAAACAAACTGACATGCAACCATTGCTCCCTAGGTTCATATTTATGTGGATGCTGTAGTTAACCACATGTGTCGAGCTACTGGTGGGTCTGGAAACGGAACTACTTGTGGAAGTTATTTCAATGCAGACCACAGAGATTTTCCATCTGTCCCATACTCAGCCTGGGACTTTAACGATGGCAAATGTAAAACTGAAAGTAGACAGATTGAAAATTTCAATGATGTGTATCAGGTAATTTGTATTTAAGTATTTATTTTTGCTGTCCTTCCTGACAGTCTTTGACCATCATAACAAGCCTAAAATAAAATAAAATAAAATAATTGGCCAAGCTAACTAGTATGCACTCTGTTTAAGATGTTACTTAAGGATGTAGCTACATTTCAGTGTGGGAGTATGAACACCGACTTCTCTTGATGTTTAAAGTTATGCTGTTGCACCTATTTGTGCACCTGTTAGTAGTCATGCAGTTCTGATCACTCCTAACTGATAAAGCTCAATACCTTGAACAAGGTATTGCTCAAAGGCCTAAGGAGATGACTTTTGAAAACCCATAAGTCTTCCAGCCTGATCAGTAACTACTAATGAGAGATGACCTTAGAAAATCCACAGGTCTGCAGCAAAGGATGCTGGTGATTCAGTGGATACTGACCCATAAAACTGGAATCTGAGCTCTTGTAATCATTAAATGGCTAATGGCTCCTTTCCCAGCTTTAGGGCTTTTAGCTTCTCTGTCTTGTTTGCCAAGTTCCTTCCTAAACTCCCAGGCAGCTACATCTGGAGGCAATATTCTTCACTTCCTGGCCTGATGTGAGACTCAGGATGCATTCTTCTGTAGTGTTCCAGGATGCATTCTTCTGTAGTGACTTTGAAGGAATTCTCTTCAGAACAGGTTTCGCTTGTGGATTGAACAGATTTACAATGTGCAATTAAAAATATGTTAAAAATTAATATATTTGAATCAGAGATTTATAATGGGGTGCATCGGCACCGACACTGTGGTTGCTCCAGGGCTGGAGCAATCACAGAGTAAAATTAGTGTGTACAAAACACCCACCAGCAGCAAAGCTCTCCCCTCTTTCTTTCTTCTCTCCCTCCCCCCTCCCATCTCTTTGCACCCACCACCCGCAGCCGGCAGGCAGGAGGAGAAGCAGGGACAGAGGGTGCTCAAGGCAGAAAGAAGAGGGAACGAGGAAGGGCAGGGAGTTCAGGGAAGGGGTGGAGTGGGGACAGGATTGTGGTGGAGCACATGCTTGAGGGAAGGGGAGCAGTGGGAGTAGGTTCAGAGTAGGGTTTAAGAAGGCTCCTATCTATGGGGGAAGTTGGCACCAATGGTTTGGTGTATGATTCTGTGGCATCTCATCTCATTTTAAAAACAGGCTCGTGACTGCCGCCTGCTTGATCTTCTTCATCTTGTCCTGGAGAAGGACTATGTGCGCTCAAAAGTTGCTGACTTCATGAACCACCTTATTGATATTGGCGTGGCAGGCTTCAGAATTGATGCTTCCAAGCACAATTTGCATGCAGAGATTTGTTTATTTGCTGTGCCCAGGTGCAAAATGTAAAGGATGACACAAAGAATAAAGAAGTAACAAATCAAGCAGGTAGTCAATCAAGTGCTCTTGTGGGGGAAGAGCTTATTGGCAGCAAAAGTGCCAACTACCAGCTTTCATACAAGCTCAGTTTTAGTGACACTAAAAGCTGCAAACATACCCTGCGCTGAGGTGGGGAACCTTTTTTGGGTCAGGGGCCACTGATCCACAGAAAAATCAATCAGGGGCTGCACACAAGCAAGAAGCAAGAAAACAACCCCCCAAAAAACAAACCCTCACTGATGTGTCCTGACTGAAAGGGAAAAGACACTCCCCATATTACCCTCGCGCACCAGAGCCTAGCGGGGCCCAGGCTAGTAGATTTTGTGTGATCCAGCCCTGCGGGAGGATGGTGTGGTAGATGGAGTGACAGGATGGGCTCCCCAATGCTGGGCGGGGGGAGCCCTGAGCCTTGGGGGCCAGATCCAGGCAAGCTGGGAGCCGCATCCAGCCCCCTGGGCCTTAGGTTCCCCACCCTTGCCCTAAGCATTCTGGCATTGGGGCAATTCTTTTAATACAAGAGCTATGCATGCTTGTTGTATAAAAAATAAAATCTGTTTTAATGTTCATTATTTCTCTTGTAATTCAGAACCAGAACTAGAGTTAAGTGGTGATTACTGTATTGCTTGTTAAATAGCTAGAAATGTGTTAACAGATTTTTCTTACTTTTGTCAGGTGATTGATTTTGGTGGAGAGGCAATTAAGGCTAGTGACTACTTTGGAACTGGCCGAGTGACTGAGTTCAAATATGGTGCAAAACTGGGGACCATCATCCGCAAATGGGATGGAGAAAAGATGGCCTATTTAAAGTATATACCATTTGGATTAATTGTGACATTCATGCAATAGCTGAAGAAGAAGACTCAATGTGTTTGATGCTCTTTTTTTATTTCATTTTAAAGGAACTGGGGAGAAGGCTGGGGTTTCATGCCCTCTGACAGAGCCCTTGTCTTTGTGGATAATCATGACAACCAAAGGGGACATGGTTCTGCGGGACCTTCTATTCTTACCTTCTGGGATGCCAGGTAAGGAATATGGTTGGCTGTGTGAGATTCTTATTTTTTTTTTCTAATTAAGACAATGTACCTTTATGTGTCTCATTTGGCTTGCAGACTATATAAAATGGCAGTTGGTTTCATGCTTGCTCATCCTTATGGATTCACACGGGTAATGTCAAGCTACCGGTGGACAAGACATTTCCAGAATGGAAAGGTAGGTTTCTAGCAGTTGAAAATAAATTTACAAGGCTCTTACTTTTCCTCTCTGTGGAGTGACAGTGCTGGGATTAGGCACTATTGAGTACCCATTAAAATCTTTGGTGCAGGAGTGTTTCTTGAGTGATGAATAAACCTTGTTTTGACTCTCTGTGAATATTATCCTTCTTCCTGTGGCCTTTCTCATAGTTAGAATGTTTCATTTTTACTGTTCTGTTTAACAAGGACGTTAATGACTGGATAGGACCACCAAGCAATGGTGATGGTTCCACCAAAGCTGTTACAATCAATGCAGATTCCTCATGTGGTAACGGCTGGGTCTGTGAACATAGGTGGCCTCAAATAAGGTAGGGATCCGTAGAGAGAAATTAAATACAGATAATGCATTTTGCAGTATGGGAGCCGCATCCAGCCCCCTGGGCCTTAGGTTCCCCACCCTTGCCCTAAGCATTCTGGCATTGGGGCAATTCTTTTAATACAAGAGCTATGCATGCTTGTTGTATAAAAAATAAAATCTGTTTTAATGTTCATTATTTCTCTTGTAATTCAGAACCAGAACTAGAGTTAAGTGGTGATTACTGTATTGCTTGTTAAATAGCTAGAAATGTGTTAACAGATTTTTCTTACTTTTGTCAGGTGATTGATTTTGGTGGAGAGGCAATTAAGGCTAGTGACTACTTTGGAACTGGCCGAGTGACTGAGTTCAAATATGGTGCAAAACTGGGGACCATCATCCGCAAATGGGATGGAGAAAAGATGGCCTATTTAAAGTATATACCATTTGGATTAATTGTGACATTCATGCAATAGCTGAAGAAGAAGACTCAATGTGTTTGATGCTCTTTTTTTATTTCATTTTAAAGGAACTGGGGAGAAGGCTGGGGTTTCATGCCCTCTGACAGAGCCCTTGTCTTTGTGGATAATCATGACAACCAAAGGGGACATGGTTCTGCGGGACCTTCTATTCTTACCTTCTGGAATGCCAGGTAAGGAATATGGTTGGCTGTGTGAGAGTCTTATTATTTTTTTCTAATTAAGACAATGTACCTTTATGTGTCTCATTACTCTTTGGCTTGCAGACTATATAAAATGGCAGTTGGTTTCATGCTTGCTCATCCTTATGGATTCACACGGGTAATGTCAAGCTACCGGTGGACAAGACATTTCCAGAATGGAAAGGTAGGTTTCTAGCAGTTGAAAATAAATTTACAAGGCTCTTACTTTTCCTCTCTGTGGAGTGACAGTGCTGGGATTAGGCACTATTGAGTACCCATTAAAATCTTTGGTGCAGGAGTGTTTCTTGAGTGATGAATAAACCTTGTTTTGACTCTCTGTGAATATTATCCTTCTTCCTGTGGCCTTTCTCATAGTTAGAATGTTTCATTTTTACTGTTCTGTTTAACAAGGACGTTAATGACTGGATAGGACCACCAAGCAATGGTGATGGTTCCACCAAAGCTGTTACAATCAATGCAGATTCCTCATGTGGTAACGGCTGGGTCTGTGAACATAGGTGGCCTCAAATAAGGTAGGGATCCATAGAGAGAAATTAAATACAGATAATGCATTTTGCAGTATATCTTTCACTGTTTGGGAAGATTTCAATTAAAGCGAATCCTATGTGTTTTATTTTCAGGAACGTGGTGATTTTCCGTAATGTGGTTAATGGCCAGTCTTTGTCAAACTGGTGGGACAATGGTAGCAATCAAGTGGCTTTTGGGCGTGGTAATAAAGGCTTCGTCGTCTTTAATAACGATGATTGGTAAGTAAGTAAGGTGAATTGCATCAGGAACACGGCAGCTACAGACAGGACAGGTGACAATTTTTAATGTAACAGATCTTGACTTTTACATGTTGCAATTCGAAACCTGCCACCTGCCTGCTTCCAAAAACACTTTTCAAAACCCAGCATTAGCTTCCAAAACAATACATCAGTTTGCTGCTGATTCCTGATCACTGGTTTCAGACCCAGCAGTGAGGAGGTTAGGAGTCTTAGGAATGCATGTCCGTGAAGGTCTGAGTGGTAACTAGGCATGAGCTAGAAGGTGGATGGCTCTAGAGAAGTGATCAGAGATTAATACTTGTGTCAGGTTGGGATGCTCTGGGAAAGACCAGGAAGGTGGAATTGGGTCAGGTCTGCTGAAGGGAGAAGAGCTGATGACTGGATTAGATGATTTATAGGGATAGGATTATCAGGTTTTGAGTGCTCTACACTGAATTGTTCTTAGTGCTGTCCGTGTTAAGGTTGAATCACTTCAAATTAAATGCTTCCCTCTCCAGTACAAAAGACATTTTGTCCCGAGCAGTGACTAGAAGAGTCTCATGAGGAATAGCAGTTTGTTAGGACTGGTGTTGTGCTCTTCTAAGCTTGTCTGATGTCAGAGGTACCGAAAAAGACTTGGGAAACTTGAAACACAGTGGAAGTCATAAAGAGCATGAGATGGTCCGTCTAAAATTGGTGTAGGCCAGCATGACATTTTAAGTTTTTAATTACGAGGAAGACCTATATTTTGGAGTCTGACTGGCCTCTTACTACTCTTAAATCTGTTTTTATACACAGGAACTTGAATGTAAATTTTCAAACTGGCCTTCCAGCTGGCGCTTATTGTGATGTTATTTCTGGGCAAAAGGAGGGCAACTCCTGTACTGGAATCAAAGTCAATGTTGGTTCCAACGGCATTGCCAGTTTCCAGATTAGTAATCAGTCTGAAGATCCTTTCATTGCAATACATCTGAATGCTAAATTGTAATGTAAGCTGGATGCATTTCTTCCCTTGGTTATTCACACTGCACTTTTTTTTTGGTTTTGTTTTGTGTAGCATGCAGCAATGAATGATCTTTTAATTAAGAAGTAAATAGCAGTGGAGCAAAACTGTTGTGAGTTTCATTAATGAAATTAAGTGTAACTATTTGTACTCTCAGCACGTAACTGATAGAAATACTAAAGCATGTTTGTAAAAGATAACATATCTGGCCAACAGAGTAGTTTACAATTAGCAGTACTAGCTTGTTTCAGCTGGAGCAAAGAGAACGAAAATTTGAAGAGTGGTCACCTGAGCACTGTTTAATACCATCCGGGGGCTAAAAGTTGTGTAAAGGAAGACAAGAAAAATATTAACGTGCTCCACGTGTGTGTGTGTGTGTATATGTGTATATATATATATATACACACAAACATATATATATATATATATATATACAGAGAGAGAGAGAGAGAGAGAGATACCATCTCATAGAACTGGAAGGGACCTTGAGAGGTCAGCGAGTTCAGTCCCCTGCTCTCACAGCAGGACCATGTACCATCCCTGACAGATTGCTACAAGTGAGAAAAAAGGTAGCAGCAGAATCTAGTCCTTAAAAGGAGGTTTAGTGTATATCAGCCATTATCTTCAGTTTATATAACCACACAGATAGACATTATTTCTAAAGGGTGTGGGATAAATATCTTCTCCAGCTATTGGAACAAGATATTGGGATGTCACACACACAGGACTGGGTTATCACTGAATGAATCAGCAGGGAGGAATATAGAAAGGAATATAGAAAAGGAAACTTCTACATCTCCTGGAGCTTGGAACTTTTACATTAATTTATTTTCAACAAAAATGGTTTGTGAAGTTTTGAGGAAAAAAAGTAAAAACAAACAACCCTACAACATTGTGCCCATGGGAATGAAACATTCCAATTTTCTAGTGTACACTGACTTTTTAATTTGGAAATTTAATTTTATCAGATTGAAAAGAAAAACCCTAAAGAAAAAATCAAATACAACCAAGGTGTTTAATTTTTTTTCAGTTCATGATTATTTCTGAGATTATCTTTTAGTTTAAGACAATAAAAGGAGATGGAAAACAATGATCTAAAAATATTCACATGAGAAGAAAACTGCTTCCTGTATCTTTTCACAACACATATGTATCTTAGAACTGTAGAACTGGAAGGGATCTCAAGAGCTCATGCACTAAGGGTAGGAATAAGTATTATCTAGACCATCCCTAACAGTGTTTCTATACCTTTAATCATTTTTATTTGTATTTTCTGGACTTTTTCCATTTGTCAATATCTTTCCTGAAATGTGATACCCAGGACTGGACCACAGACCAGAAAATTCAATAATAATGGGAAACTTCAACTATTCCCTTAGGGTACATCTACACTTGCACCCTAGTTCGAACTAGGGATGTAAATGTAGGCTACCGAAATTGCTAATGAAGCAGGGATTTAAATATCCCGTGCTTCATTAGCATGATCTTGCCAGCGTGTTATTCCACTCAAAAGCTGTTTCGAAAGTGAAAATGCGTGCAGGGACACATTAGTTTGAACCAAGGGGTTTGGTTCAAACTAATGCGTCCCTGCACGCATTTTCACTTTCGAAACTGCTTTTGAGTGGAATAACACGCTGGCAAGATCATGCTAATGAAGCACGGGATATTTAAATCCCTGCTTCATTAGCAATTTCGGTCACCAACATTTGCATCCCTAGTTCAAACTAGGGTGCAAGTGTAGACGTACCCATATTGATTGAGAAAATGTCATCTGAGGACAAGAGGCAGATGCTAGACTTATCCAGTGACTGCTTCTTAAAACAGCTAATCATGGAACCCACAAAGTTACAGGCAATTCTTGATTTGGTCCTGAGTGGTTCATAGGATCTGATCCAAGAGAAATATAGCTAAATCAGTCACTAATAGTTACCATAATGTAACAAAATTTAGCATTCTCATGGGGGTGAAATACCAAAGAAACCAAGAATCACAGAACACAATGATAGAACACTAGAACTGGAAGGGACCTCGAGAGGTCATTGAGTCCAGTCCCCTGCCCTCATGGCAGGACCAAGCATTCTCTAGACCATCCCTGATACATGTCTATCTAATCTGCTCTTAAATATATCCAGAGATGGAGAATTCACAACCTCTCTAGGCAATTTATTCCAGTGTTTAACCACCCTGACAGGAAGTTTTTTCTAATGTCCAACCTAAACCTCCCTGCTGCAGTTTAAGCCCATTGCTTCTTGTCCTATCCTCAGAGGCTAAGGAGAACAATTTTTCTCCCTCCTCCTTGTGACACCCTTTTAGATACCTGAAAAAATGGTGGAAAGGTAGAAGTGAACTTCAAAAAGGGGAACTATAGAAGAATGAGGAGGCTAGTTAAGTGGAAATTTTAAGGACATTTCAAGAATGTAATGCCTGCAATTTGCATGGTAACTAATGGTGGCTCAAACCATACAAACGGTAAATGAACCTCCACACACACGTCTCCCCTAAAAAGATTGCTACCATGCTTAAACACCAGAGCCAAATGGGAAATAGACATAATTTAAAAATTGGAATTTAAATCCCACTGAAGAAAATAGAAAATTCTGGAAACTCACAGGAAAAAATATGATCAAAATTTGAAGGAACAAAAATGAACAGCAATTTAAAAAAAATGTATATCTGCAGTAGCTCAAAGGAAACAAGTTCACTGTGGCACAATTAAATGAATTGTTTGCATTGCTGTTCACTGCAGCAGATGTGAAGAAGATTCTGACATGCAAGCTCAGGCTTTTTTGTGGTACGGGTGACAAACATGAGCACCACCAGCCCCACGACTGCTGTGGCTCCCTGAAGCCAGGGCTCCCCATCCACACCTGCCCCAATCCCACTGAGGCTTCCCAGCCATCACCAGCCCCACTAGCACTGGGACTACCCAGTGCTAGGGCTCTCCCGCCACTGCTGGCTCCACTGGGGCAGGATTTCCTGGCCACCACTGGCCCATCTGCCTGTTCAGTTAGGGCTCCCCAACCACCTCTGGACTCCCAGCTGTCTTCTGCTCCTGGTCTCCAGGGTTCTTTGGTCCTGCTGGACCCTGGGTGTTGCTGAACCAGAGTCCCAGACTGGAGAGGTTCAACCTGTATGACGAAATCTCCCCCTATGAGTAGCAGTAATTCTATTGGCACTCTTGTGGTTGAAGCTTATGTTTATCAGAGTTGTGGTTTCTGCCCCAAAAAAGTTTTACTGACCACAGTTCTAAAGAGGAGTGTAGACAAAGGCTAAGATTTCAATGATCTTTGTTGCTAATTAGTTCCTCATTCCAAGTGACACACAAAGGATTTTTAGGTACATCTGGCAGTTATATGTATCAGTAGGCTGTAAAGCAGCCATTGTGTTAACTTAGTACTAAAACCACGACAAAGTTATTTTTCCAACTTTACCAAGTTTTCAGGTGTATCATTGAAAACTAGTATAAAAAAACTAGTATATCATGGCTTGGCTGGGTGTAAGTGTCAAATCACTCCCAATCACTTCTGGGTTGTTTTTCTTGACTGTCTGATTAAAATCTCTCTCTCGCTATAAAAACACTTTGCCTGCGGGATGACAAAGTGACATCAGCAAGTCTGTGTCCTGCAGCCCTCCCCTCCTCAGCCGCGCAGCGTCTTCTCTCTCTTCCCCCTTCCCAGTGCTGGGGGCACAGGAGTGGCACAGCCTCCCTTTTCCCTCCTTCCTGGTACTTGGGCGTGGGGCAAGAGCCCTGCAGCCTCCTCCCTCCCCCTGCCCTGGTGCTCTGGGGTGGGGGAGAGTGGGAGAAGTGCAGCCTTCCCCATTCCTGGTGCTCCAGCAGGGGGTGGAGCCGTGCAGCCTTCCCCTAGCCCTTCCCCTTCCCCTTCCCCTTCCCCTTCCCCTCTCCCTAGTGCTTGCAGAAGGCAAGAGCCCCATGGCTTCCCCTCTCCCCAGTGCTCCAGGGAGACAGGAGCTATGCAGCCTCCCCCCGTCCCGGTGCACTGGGGAGGCAAGAGTGGGGTTGGCGAGCGTAGTGAGGAGGGGACACAGCCCCATAGCAACAATACATAAAACTGTGCATTTCAACTTGATTTGTGCAGAGCATGAAATATCCTTCAAGTAATTCAAGTTGTTGAATGATATCTCTATGGCTGACCCTTAAAAAGTTTTGTACCCTGACATCTAAGAGCTTACTTTTTCCCTTTTATCCTACCAAAGGTGCTCTCTCTGGCTACGTCTACATTGCACAATTATTTTGGAATAAGCTATTCCAGAAGAAATACTCTGAAATAGCTTATTTTGAAATAGTGCATCTATACTACAGGGAAGCCTGGCAATTAATCCAAGGCAGACTCCCCTAATGTGGACGCGCTACATTGATTTAGAGCCCCAGGAAGCACTGGGGAGTAATTATTTTGAATGGCCTGGAAGAGGAGCTATTTTGAAATAGCAGCAGTGGAGTGTCCACCTACTTCTATTCCAAAATAGCTATTTTGGAAGAGGCATTATTCCTCATGGAATGATGTTTACAAATGCCAAAATAAGCTGCCCATTATTCTGCAATTTTTTTGAAATAATGGGCTAGCTGTGTAGATGCTCACATAGTTGTTTCAGAATAATTGATGTTCTGCAGAAGATATATAACTTTGAAAAACAGTGATCTGCCATAATCTAAAGTTGGTGAGCTTCAGAGCACCATATGAGAAGACCTGGAAAAAGCCTTTAACTCATCCTCTCTAATATTAAAGAATAATATTTTTGATGTTGATGGTGGTGAACAGGAGGGTCTGTTCTATTCTGTAATCAACTTTTTCTTTCTGTGGGGTGCCTTGGTGCTTCACTTCCGGGCTTGATGTACATTTCTAAATAAAATAAATAATTTAGAGACTGTTTCCAGGCAATGTGAATTCTTTAATATGCTATTCTCCTCTCCCACCATTTGAAAATATTCTGATGTTTGCAGCATATTTATCATGTAGGAAACCAGCTTCCTAGTGAATCTGATGTGTATGACACTTTACTGAAAAGAAGCCAATGAAAATAAGAGGTAATTTAACATTTCAAGAGCACATATGAAAAAAATAAGAACACAGGCTCTCTGGCTCTCAACTGGAATTAACAACAAAAAAAGACCTTCAAATGTCTTTGATTAGAAATTGAACAGATGGGCAAACATGTGATCTGTTTGCTCTTTTTGTCCTTGAATATAAATTCTGGGAAAGAGAATGAGGTTTATGACACAGAGCCACTGACATAGCTTGTTTTAGAAAGAGGCACATAGAATGAGAGTTCAGGAACAAAGTGCATGGAGTTTAGATTGGTGCTAGAATTGATG